TGAGCGATCGTATCTGAAGGAGAAATTCCGGGAAGTGTGATATGGGTCAGGAGGTGTGTGTGCATTTGTCATTTAAGTAGATATTGCAACTCGCCCTGTGTTGGATTTATACCAGTTTCCTTTTTCCTCATCAAGGTCACAGATTCACCAACGTGCTGATATCAAACCTTTGGATCTTCACCAATCTGGGGGATTCAAATGGCAGCACATATAAGTTTGTTGTTTATTTTTTTTAGATTATAACAGGTTTATTATAGGGTAAGTTTTTTCTTTTTTTAAATATATATTTATATTGATTAAACTATTAGAGTTGTCCCAATTTTTACCCCTTTGCCCCTCTCTTCCTGGTACCCCCCTTCCCTCAGTAATCCCTCCCAGTTAGTTCATGTCCATGGGTCATGCATATCAATTCTTTGGCTTCTCCATTTCCTATATTACTCTTGACATCCCCCTGTCTGTTTTGTACCTACCAGGTATCAGCTGATAGTCTTATGGGAACTCCTTTGTAGGTAACTCTCTGCTTTTCTTTGCTGCATTTAAGATTCTCTCTTCATCTTCAACCTTTGACATTTTAATTATGATGTGTCTTGATGTGGTCCTCTTTGGGTGCAACTTGTTTGGGACTCTTCTGTGCTTCCTGGACTTGTGTATCTATTTCCTTCACCAAATTAGGTAAGTGTTCTTTCATTACTTTTTCAAATAAGTTTTCAATTTCTTGCTGTTCCTCTTCTCCCTCTGGCACCTCTATGCTTTGGAAGTTGGTCATTCAGAAATGTCCCAGAGGCTTCTTATACTATTTTTTTTCTTGAATTCTTTTTCCTTCTTGCAGTTCTGTTTGAATGCTTATTTCTTCCTTATGTTCCAAATTGTTGATTTGAATTGCGGCTTCCTCCCCTTCACTGTTGGTTCCATGTAGATTTTTCTTCATTTCACTTAGTGTAACCTTCATTTCTTCCTATGTCTTTCACATGTTATTGCTGTACTCAGCAAGTTCTTTGAGCATTCTTATCACCAGTGTTTTGAACTCTGCATCCAATAGGTTGGTTATCTGTTTTGTTTAGCTCTTTTTCTGGGGTTTTGTTCTGTTCTTTCATTTGAGCCATATTTCTTTGTCTCCTCAATTTGGCAGCCTCCCTGTGTTTGTTTCTGTGTAATAGGTAGAGCTGCTTTGACTCCCTTAGTAGTGTGGCCTGTTGTAGAAAAGGCACCTGTAAATCGTGTGGGGCAGAGGCTGGGTGATCGCCAGGGCAAGGCAACCTACTTCACAGCCATGTGGCTCTGTGTGGGGGCAGGGCACTGAGAGGGACAGTGCTGCTGCTGGGCTTCTGGAGGTCTGCCTGGAGCTTTCTGTTTCCAATCATTTCACCCACTCCTTGTGTGTGACTGGCTCCTTTCCAGCTGTTGCCCTGGTGCTGAATCCCAGAGGGGATAGGTCTGTATACATTGTAAGTCTGTGTGGGCCCTTTAAGTGGAGACTAGTGAAAATCCAGTAGTTTTTTCTGCTGCCCCAACCCCCACTGATTTTTACAGCCAGAACTTATGGGGATTTATCTTCCTGGTGGTGGAGCCCTGGGCTGTGCAGTCTGGCCTGGGGCTGGGATCGCTCGCTCCTGAGGTATCCTTCTGATTTTCATCCACCACAGGTGCATGTGGGGCTGCCCATTCTGCCATCGCCACCTCTCTGTGGCATGCCACGTCTCCGTGTCTCTCCACCCCTCCCACCCGTCTGGATGCACGTGGCTTCTTTAAATCCTTGGTTGTCAGACTCCCGTACAGCTTGATTTTCTGATGGCTCTGGGAGTTATTTGTTTTGATATCTAGTTGTAATTCTTTCTGTGGTTTTAAGCAAGGAGGTGCAGTGCGTCTACCTATGCCTCCATCTTGACTAGAGGTCATGCTCAATCTCACAGTATAGTTTCAATGCTTGTTTCCCTTGTGAGATTGAGACTCTTCTCCTGTGAGTAAGCACTCTTTGTCTTTGTGAGCTCAAGGCTTTTATTCTTTGTTAACTTTTTCATGGACTGTTGTAGTATTTTTCAGGGGTGTGTGTGGGCCAGAGGAGATCAGAGTCTCCAGTGCCTTACGTGCTCTGGATGGAGGGGTGGCAGGCAGAGAGCGCAGGGGGTTACCTACGGCTCCTGGGCTGAGGAGCGATAGTTCTAACAACAGACTTGAGGAAGTAAACTCCCCATCTCTGGGAGTGTGCAAATGGGAGGGGCATGTGTCCGAAGGGTTGTAGAAGAAATTGATGACACAGGCAAGGTTTGGAGCTGGGGGACCTTAGTCTGTTCTAAATGAGAGTCCACCCAGGAGCTTAGAGGTGGCGGGGATTTCTGCATCCTCCTCGTTTCCTGTGGCTTTGGAGACAGCCTGTCCCACATCCCTTCTGTGTGTGGGTGGCTGGCAGTGTCCTGGCACCATGGTGTGAGCTGGGTTTCTCCTGAGGTCTGGGGTGACTGGTTTGTTGCAATCGCTGTTGTTCGAACTTCAAGGCTCTCAGTATGTTGAGCTTAGAGGTGCTGCCCCTGGTGGGAAGTGTAAGTTTCCCCTCACTCCCCTGTCACTTCCTGAGGGTTCTTGGGGGTGTTACAGATTGAAGCTGCGTGGTTGGTAGGGCAGTGAGGCATGGGGTCCAATCTTGCATGTTTGTGATCTGGAAACCATGGCCTAACTGTGGACCCCGCCCTCCTGCTGAGGACCACCTGCTAGCCAGGAATGGGACTGGACACACTGAGACAGGGTAGGTAGGGGTAGATAGGGCCTCACCTGCATCTGTTGTCTGATAGTAGATGTGGGAGGGGTGCCCTAATGCCCCGCAGATAAATGAGTTTCCATTCTGGAAAATGCCTGCGTGTGAACAGTGCTGGCAGGTGAGTCACAGCATGCAGGAAGCCTCAGGAGAACTGACAATAAGGAGAGCCTGTGAGAGAGGCTCAATAAATACTGACTGGCTGAAGGAAGGAAGGAAGGAAGGAAGGAATGATGCCTTGGAGTGGGGAGGAGAGGACAGCTTGTGCCTGTTCTGTTGATAAACTAAGATGTGTCCAGGTTGAAGGATGAGCTTTCTGCTTTTTGTTGTGCTGCAGGATCTGAGGGAGACTGTCTTGTCCCCAGCAGGACTCTGGGGTGGCTGAGGAGCAGAGGGAGGAGCAGAGGCCCGCGGCGCACTGTGGGGAGGACGCCCAGCCTCCTACAAGGCTGGACTCCAGGCCCCTTCAGGGAAAGGGTGGGTGGGAGAGACCACTATGGCATCCTCAGGACAGGTTCCAGAGAAAGCCCCTGGGGTGGAATCTCAGGAATGTTAGACAGGACAAGGGTCTCCAGGTCTGGGCGGTTCTTACTAAATGCTTTCTGCTAAATGTTAAAAGTAACAGTATTTTGCAGACTCAGCTGTAACCTTATGAGCTTGACCAGAGTCTAATAAGATAAGTTTAGCTCACTGCCAAGAAGAACTCAACATGTAATTAACAAAATAGTATACACAAGGGGTGGTTACACTTGCCTTCAGGGAGACAGAGCTTTGGACCTGAATTCTGTGTCCTTTACTTGCTGCATGTAAAGAGTAAAACTACCTATGGGCAACTACGTCTCATTCCTGAATAGAACACCCCAAGCTATGAACCCCTTGAGTGTGGTAACAGGAACAGGCTGGGTGAGGTCTGGGGAGATGGATTGAACTTGGAATCAACCAGTAGCAGAGTGGAAGGAGATGAGGACCAGCAGCCCAGGGCAATAGGCTCCTGGGGACCTGTGTGGGGGTGGAGGGAGGAGCCACCAGGTGGTGCCCCTACCTGAGGTATCTGCCCCAGGTCACAGTGGGCTGGGCAGCCCTCCATCACTGCCTACCATCTGAATAATGGGATGGGGCCAAAGTGCTGGCCCTGAGGGTTGGTTCTGGGGGAACTGAAATCTCGGGGTATGGTGTCTGAATGTTCATCATGGCGTGAACCTGGGGGAGGGTCTTTGAGGTTCAGAACACAGGGGATAGCCTAGGGCATTAGTGGGGTCACCACAGAATGATCCTGGAGGCTGGAGCTTTCAGGAGGGGCTGAAAAATGGGGTCAGGAGCTGCACTGTGAGGTAGGCCATGGGGGAGTATTTCTGGGGCAGACTTACTCCAGCAAGAGGTTGAGCTGAGAGCAGTGGGCACTAACCTGGAGCTTCAGGGTCTCAGAACACGGTGTTCTTGAAGGTGCAGATGGAAAATGGTCTCTGGGTGGAAGGGAGAGTCTGGGGGAACAAGTCCTGCTGGGAAGGCAGTGTTTGGTGGGAGGGTGAGACTTGGGGAGTGGGTTGTGGGCACTGGAGGTCTTTCAGGGGCCGTTGTAGAAGAGACACTTAAGGAGCAGAACACAGATCTTTGTGGTAGATGTGGGAATTTGCCACTCATGAGGGAGATCCTGGGAGCACTCAAAGCATCAAAGTGTTGCATAGCTTTGGATAATCAGAAAGGGGAAACCAACCAGAAGGTGCATTTGGGTGGCTCAGAACTTTGGTCAAGTTGATTCTGGGAGACACCTATGTTTGCAGGCATTAGGAATAGGGGACAGATGGTAAGGGTGGACCTAGGGGCCGGAATACTAGCGGAAAGGTTTTGGGAGAGGCTGGAGCATCCTGGTGCAAGTTCCTTAGACAGGAACAGATTATGGAAGTGGGTTTGGCTGTCCTTGATGGACATATCAGTGAGGTGAGCTGGGGAGCCTGGAGCCCAGGGGAATCTTGGGGGACTATATCAAAAGCAAGAGATGGGAGTGGTGAGAATAGAGGGGTCCAAGTCTGAGGATGTCTTGGAGGTGCATTTGGGGGGCCTTAGAATGAGAGTGCCTTGGGGGTGCTGACCATGGGAGACAGGTTTGGCAGAGTCAGTGGGTGCATGTCTGGGCGAATCCAGGAGTAGACCAGACTGGCCCTGAGGGAAGGCAAGGCCGAGCTGACTTTGCAGCAGAAGCTTTACTGACACCCAGCCCCCGCCTCCCCGCGCCCCCGCACCCCTCCCCCACTCAGTAGCATTTTTGGTACACAATCTGGGGCCCCTGCTCCTCATACTGCTCCCTCAGGACCCAGCAGGACTGGAAGGCATACAGCGAGGCTAGGATGGAGCCCCCAGTCCACACTGATAAGTGCCGGGTGGGCTGGGCCACCACCACCAGGCGCGCTTCCAGGGGCAGACTGCGCAGCAGCTCGGCGCGGAAGCGGCCCTCCAATCCCACGAAGAGCGAGGAGCCACCGCAGAGCAGCACGTTTTGGGCCATGTCGCCCCGAACCTCCTGAGGCACCTTGTTAAGACTCTGTTTGGCCATGGTGGGGACGCCCACGGGCGACAGCCCAGGCCTCTTCGGGGGGCTGAACAGCAGCTCTGGGCATTGGAAGATCTCCTTACCCAGCGAGACCATCCTGCCGTCGGGCAGCCTCAGGCGCTGCCCGCACTCCCCCTCTGGCCGGGCCTGTTCCTTCTGGAAATCCGGGGCCACATAGCAACAGCGGTGCTTGATGACCTCCACGGCGCCCAGGTCCTGCCGCCGCAGCGGAAAACCGGGGCCCAGCAGCACTTCCGCCAGGAAAGTGGTCAGGTGGGTGCCCGCCAGGTCCAGGCGCTCGGTGGCGTGGGGCAGGTGATAGCCCTGGAAGACGGGCACCGTGGAGGTGACTCCGTGGCCTATGTCCACCACCAGCCCGCTGACCCGCCCGTGCGCGTACACGGACAGCACTGACTGGGAAGCCACGTACATGGCCGGGGAGCGCATTGACTCGAAGGCCACCTCCACCAGCTTCTCGCGGTTGGTGGTGGGGCTGAAGGGCTGGTCGGAGAACAGCAGCGGGTGGTCCTGGGGGGCGATACGGAGGTCGTGCTTCAGCAGATGGCTCCAGATGAGCTCTGCCGCGTCCCAGTCCACCACGATGCCATTCCTTACCGGCTGCACCAGCGTCAGGTCTGGGCGCGCGCGGGCGGCCTCGCCAATGAAAGTCGCCAGAACCGGCTGCCCCGTGGTGGTTGGCTTCTGGGGCTGGCAGCCCACGATGGTGGCCACGGTGTAAGTGGGCTGGGCCTGCCCCGCGAAGCCCATCTTACAGGTGCCTGTGCCCATGTCAATGACCACTGCGCTGGCCTTTGAGAGCACCCTGTCGCCCATCATGCTGGGGATGCCTTCCTGTACGGTCTTGTTCACCAGCAGTCAGTTGAGGGTCCCGCCCGGCCTGGGGGCCTCTGGGGAGCCCTGGAGCTCAGAGAGGTTGGAGAGATTTGCATCCACAACTGCAGGGGCAGGGTGGGCTACTGGGCAAGGCTGACCACTTTCCCCTGGGATTCGAGGTGCAGGGAGAAAAGGTTGAGGCTGGGCTGGGGGCAGGCGCAGACAGAGACTCGGGGAGGGGGCGGGGCTATGACATCAGCCTGCCCTCGGGCCCCTTTCAGAAGACTTCACAATGCAAAGCTAGCGGTGGAGGGGTGGGGGTAGGGAGGGACCCCAGAAAGCTCCCAGGGCACCCATCTACTCTGCACCCCTCCACTCCTGCCACCACCACCAACCTGCCAAATTTGGAGGAGGATAGAGGTTTCCTAAGAAGGGACCTCTCACCCAGCTCTGCCCTTCAGAATCCAGGAAGACCTAGGAGCCCTCCTGCTGCCTTGTCTTGAAGTTATTTATAGTGTGTATTGAGAGCTGGTCGGAAGCCTCCTCAGAACAAACTAGTAATCCTTTGAATGTTAATCAGAAGGTGGTCCGCTAGCGTGGCTTTCTGGTTTCCAAGAAGGTACAGAAGCCAAACTGGCTTGGAGGGCAACGAGAGGCACAAACACCCTTGCACTAGGCTCTTTGTTGCTTCTGTTCTTCCTGCTGCCTGGAGCAGCCTCCCTGACCCATCCTTGCAGAGCAGGAATTTGCCTTTTCAAATCTCTGCCGGATGCTGCCTCCTCCTGGAAGCCTTCCCTGATTTTTCCTCCCACGCCAAGTGTAACATGAAGTTATCAAAGTAAGAGAGGCTAAATTTCCTAGTTATGTCCAGGTTTATTACTTTGTCCAGAGAGTGAGGTTGACTTTTTATTGTTAATTATTTTTGTTTATAGTCTAATGTGTACTTTTGGCAATGTTCACTTTCTCAAGTATTTATCAAAGTTCTAGGCACTCTCAGCTTTATTGAGATACAACTGACATATAACACTGCGTGAGTTTAAGGGGTGCAACATGTTGGTGACTGCACCTGTAGAGACAGCTAACACCCATGCGGCCTCACATCATCACCATTTCTCTCTGTGGCGAGAACAATGAACATCTGCCCTCAGCGGCTTGAAGTAGAAATCACAGCATTATTGACAACCACCGCCACACTCCGCATCAGACACCCAGAAATCTGCAGCCTGACCAGCGTCTCCCCACTTCTCCTGGCCCCCGCTCCCAGCAACCACCATCCTGCTCTCTGTTTCCATGGGTTTGGCTTTTTTAGATTCCACACAAAAGTGAGGTTTTATAGGACTTGTGCTTCTCCCTCTGGCTTATTCACTTAGCATATGCCCTTAAGTGCCATCCGTGCTGTGGCATGAGTCAGGATTTCCTCCCTTTCTAAGGCTGACTCGTATTCCACCGTGCAGACGGGCCACACTGCGTTCACGCACTTACCCGCAGGCCAACACTCAGGTGGCTTCCGCCCTTGGCTGTTGTGAGCAATGCTGCTGTGAACGTGGCTGTGAGAACATCTCTCTGGGACCCTGCTTTCGGTTTTCTTGGGTATAAACCCAGAAGTGGGATTGCTGGGTCACATGGGAATTCTATTTTTAATATTCTGAGGGGCTATCATGCTGTTCCCCATAGTGGCAATCCCATTTGACATTCCCACCAGCAATGTGGAGGATTCTGCTCCCTCCATGTTCTTGTCAACACTCATTATTGTCTGTAATCACATATATACACACATATATATATACCCTATTATACATGCGCATGTAATTACACACACACACACACATCCTAATCAGGGTGAGGTGGTAGTAGAGCTTTGAGCTCCAGCCGGACATTACAAAGACGTTCAGTTCAAATGAACTGTTCCACAAAGAACTGGGTGGACCGAGTCCAGGGCCCAGCCTGTGGCAGAAGAGGACAATTACTGCACCTCGTTCAGCACATCTACAGCATGGACCCAAGAAGGAGTGTTTTGGTGGATTTAGATGCGTAAAAAAATAATAAACATGTTTTAAACAATAAACATGTTTAAAGAATCACCTTGGCAAAGTCAGGGGATGTTAGATGACAGCTTGCTGTGGGGGGTGGATCAGTCCTCACCGCGACTTGATGACTTAGAAATGGGTACAAGGTCCGTTTTTTGTGATGGGGAAATAGAGGTTCAGAGAGGTGAAGTGAGTTGCCCAAAGCCACACAGCTGGAGCGGAGGCTGGGTCCGAGGTGTTGCGGTGACTGGCTGTATGTCTAGAAAACGGTGAGCTCTACGATCCCCCTGAAGCCCTGGGCTGGAGGCTGGGGAGCTCTGGGCCTCCGTTTCCCCATTGGTAAACTTGGAGGAATCGTAGTTCCGACTTCCAAGTGCAGCTGTGGGGAGAGATGGGTTTTTGTGAAGTGTTCAGGTCCATGGTGGCACAAGGTAAGGACTTTGTAGTGTGGTCTTTGCACACGCGTGCATGTGAGTATGCATGTGTGAGCACGGGATAACTGGGAACACCCAAGCAGTAGCTTTGGCACGCACTGAGGGACTTACACAGGCCTTTCTCTTGAGGGAGGACATCTGCACAGACACCAGAAGTGTGCTGCTGACACTCGGACCACAATGCCTCTTTCCACCCACATCTGAAGTCCCCGAGAAGCCAGATGTACAGCCTCTTGTCAGCAGGGGGCACCCAAGACCACCAGTGTCTTTCCCCTCCTTCCCTGAAGCCCTTCCTTTACTAGCTAAGGAGTTCACAAACTTGTTGCAAATTACAATCACCAGGGGAACTTAAACAGCAACCTCCCCTTCCGGGCTGCACTCTGGACCCATGGAATTTAAATCTCTGCAGATAGAGGCCACACATTGGCGATTCTTTGAAAGCTCCCAGGAGATATCGATGTGCACAAGTGGAGCTCCACTGATCTGTCAAAACTCTTATATTCTGAAATCTCCTTGGTTATCAGGAAGGACAGAGAACCACACTGGCGTTATGAGGCAGTTCGCTCAGACCAGCGGGTTCTCGTGCTTAACCATGTCTGAGTCTGTTCGGGAGGGTGTGTTACAACACAGAGTTCTCGTCCCCCTCTGATGCAGCAGGTCCTGGTGGCCCGAGAATCTGTGTGTCTCACAAGCTCCCAGGGGCGGCTGATGCTGCTGGTCAGCAGACTCCAGGGCGGGCAGCATCGCCTGCAGCCTTGCAGACATCTGGGGGGTGAGGAAGGAAAAGCCCAGTGAGGCTGAAACGACAGGATTAAGTTATTTTATTTCTAAATTGTTTTTCTGAATTTTAAATTTTTTTTCAGTTTAATCATTGTTCAAGTACAGTTTTCTGCCTTTTACTCCCATTCGAGCCCACCCACCCATCCCTCCCCACCTCCCTCCCATTTCCACCCCCCCCCCCAGTTTTTGTCCATGTGTCCTTTATATTTGTTCCTGTAAACCCTTCCCATTCTCCCCCAAAATGCCCTCTTCTCTCCCCTCTAAATCACAAAACAGTTCAGGCTTATGAAAAGTACACACACAGAGTCAAAGCATCAAAAGCACAAAACAGAAAAGATGGAAGTGACTTACGTGCCTCTCGCGGACGAAGCGGCAGGCGTGGTGCGGTGGGTCTGCGGGGCTGCTGGCCACGCACAGGAAAGAAGGCCCTGCCGTTGGCAACTGCGTGGAGGAAGTCTTCCGGGCATTATGGCGAAGTGAGTCGAAGACAGACACTGTGTGGTGTCACTTCCACGTGAACTCTGAAACAGCTGGGCACGCACAGGAATGCCGAATCCATCATGTCTTTTTATTCTGCATGCTTGATGTAGCGATGCCCTAGGGTCTTGCTGGGGAAGAGACTGCCCCTCCCAGAGTTAGGTACCGTGTTTGCCATGTATAATGTGGACTTTTTGCCCAAATTTATTAGGGGAAAACAAGGATGCACAACATACATGGGCACGATGATCACATACTGTGGGTATAACAGTGGGTGTATTTAATAATCCCGTGTATGAGGTGCATGAAAATGGGTAGCTCCTAGAGATGGCAAACAACTGCTCCCTGAGGCCCCTTTCCTGTGCACGCTGGCCCGTCTAGAGCCCATACCCCCAGCCACCTCGTTCATGGACTCCAATGTCAGGGCCACTGTGCCCCTGCTGTGCCCACCCCGGGGTCAGGTGCCAGACAACCAGGGCCAGTCCCTAAGTCCCAGAACCCACTAAAGTTTAAGCGAGTCTGTGCTAAGCTTGCTTACCTGCCTCATCTATTTTTTCCTGTGGAAACCACAATCAAGCCTCTTGCCCTCATGTTCTGACCATTCCCTCTGTCTCCTGACTGCTGCAGGGGCCTCCTGACGGGACCCCCGGATGCCAGGGGCCCTTGCTTAGAAGCCGTGAGAAACAAGTGACCTTTTCAATGGCAGTACATCACCTGACCTGTTGGCCTTGCCATTCCTGAGTGAAAGTAAACTTTCATTTTAAAACTGACTTCCTTGCCCTGGCCACATGGCTCAGTTGGTTAGAACATCATCCTCTACACCAAAAAGGTTGAGGGGTCAATCCCCTGTGGGGCACATACCTAGGTTGTGGGTTCAATCCCCAGTGGGGGCATGTAGCGTAGGCAACTGATCAATGTCTCTCTTGCTCATCAGTGTTTCTCTTTCTCGCCCTTCCTCTCTAAAATTTATATATATATATATATATATATATATATATATATCCATCCATCCTCGGGTAGAGATTAAAACAACAATAATAAACCAGACTCCTTCACCCATTCTTCTCACTCGGGACTCTCACTGGGCTGGGACTGTCCGCATGTGGTGGCCACCCATGCCAATGCTCCCCCCTCCGTTCCTGGGGGTAACTGACGGCTGTAGCTTAAGCGTTTGCTTTATTTGGAAAATCCTAGGTAGCCTTTTGTGATTTGTTGTTCTTAGGTTTCGATTTTTTACTTTTTTTTTCAATTACAGTTGCCATACAATAGCTTGCTTTGCCCCTGCATCTTCTCTATAAAAGTCTACCCTTGAGGATTTCTAGCCATTTCCCATTTAAATCAATTTTTCTCAAATAAATTCTTAGAATTAAAAAAAAACTGAACACAGTTGTTTTCT